TGTTATTAATTTGTTGTTATTTAATTTTTATTATAGTTATTTATTGTGATTTGTTGTTACTTAATGTTGTTCAATGTTGTTCTGCACGTCGTCAAGATCGCAAACGTCGACCCTACATTAGGATGAAGATGTAAATTTGCGACAAAACAGGATATCCAATCGACGCGTTCAAGATCGATGAGATATCTTTCACACTAGCTGATTTGTAGAAATTCACTTATGTCTGATATTCGCTGTCATGATACTGTTTATAAATACTCATCATTATTTACCTGTTCTAGTACAGCTGCAGATGTTTTACTTACTTTGCTAATGCGACCATTAATGAATGTAATTTATCAATAAATACTAAATTTTAAGAAAATAAAATCATACAACGATTAAAATACATACAGCGCACTGATAATTGTTCAACTGGTGTCGTGCTAATGCAATAGAATCAGTTATTGTCAATAGAAGGAGCAAAAGTGAAAAATTAAATTGAGAATATATCGATAACTCTCAATGAATGATTAATTTTAGTCTTTTGAATTTATCAATGGCTCGTATTTGTAACAGTTCAATAATAACTATGTCTATCAATTACATCTGCCGTTACTTATGAAGACACTAAAACGATAACATATTGCTGGACAAATTATTAATAATTGGACAAAAAATACAGGCAATACGTTCAAATAAATATAAAAACAATGAAGAAAGAGGTAACTTATACAACATCACCAAAATCATACAAGTTTCGAATGGAACGGAAAGATAATCAAACGTCGAAACTTAAATTGAAATCCACCAATAGCGAAGCCAATTTGATAAATATCCAACTGATCGCTAACGAGAAATATTCTTCAACAGAAACGAATCAAAAATTCTCAATGAAAATGAAAGTGACATGAAAAAGAACACATGACAAGACCTTCAGCAAAATCGAACGTTCTCATCAATCCATGTGTATAGAGCGATTATGAAAGTTACGATTCCATAAACAATGCGAAAGTATTCGTACGAAAACAAAAGTGAATCAATTTTTAAAGGCATGATATTTAAAGACACGATTAATTAAACACGATATTTGTTCAAATGGTAAATGCACGGAACACTGTGGGAATAATTTCATCATGAAATATTGTTTCCTGTAGACTTATTTAGTAGTATGCGACGACTTGCATATTGGCTGAGTACCAAGCGATTCATTTCTTCATTACCATTGTTGTTGCTATCGAGTCGCTTTGAAATGTTGAAGACTTTCTAAAGTATAGTTTATTTTTATTGTTATCACATTAATAAATTTCATATTTTCATTCAGATGTGATCACTATAACTATTATAATAATCCCTTTCATTGCTACGCATATATAAGTAAGCAAACATCAACGTTTTGGATAACTTTTGAATGGTTTTTGCAAATAATTTAGCCTGATCAGACTTATTACAATCACCGATTACTTACTAACAGAATGGACACAATGGCCGGATGAATAAAATTATGAGTTATCACACCAAACTTTCGATGAAAAGATTAAACCAAAATTAGCTGTGTACCATAAATGAACTCACCGTAATGAAAAAGAGGTGTTCAACGGTTTGATCATACCCCTTTTCATCGCATCAGCGTATTGCTTATCATTCATTGCAGTTGTATCCACATACGACTGCAATCCTCGATGCATTCCACCACTTGTCGACGCTATTTTGTCTTGTTCACCTTGTCTTCTTGCTACAAATTTTATACAAAATAAAATAAGCAATGAAATATCATCAGGACGGTATTCAACTTTATCACCATCAATATTACACATTCACATAAACTCTCTTCACTCAATCATCTCCTCGCACGCACTCATCAAAAAATCATTCATTTACAGATGTAGGGATGTGTCTTCATTGGGCACTCGACGAAAGCGAATGTGAATGACAACACTTTCAGTTAAACAGCACTATGCATTGACGATATTACACTTTTTGCTTGCTTTGATATAAGCTTCATGAAATTTGTTGACACAATCTAACAAATATCGTGAAGATTTGAACTTACAAAGTGAACGCTCAATACAAGTATAAACATCGAAACAACTTATGAGGTCTCAAAAAATGAGAGTGTGAGATTGAATAGTAACAAAGCGTAACCTGAAGTACTTGGTCTAGCCAGTTTTTTCGGAGTGGCGAGTCGTTCGAGTCTTTTCGACAATCTTGGTTCACTTCGCGATAGTGGACTAGGCCGTTGAACGGAACGATTCATTAATCGTTCCTCTTTAGCACGCTGCCTTGTTAATGATTTCACATTCAACTAAAAAATCACAATCAATTCGACCGTTAAAATCGTTAACTCGTTAACCGTTAACATTCTTATGCATAGGATTTAGCGACAGATAACTGCTCACTTCAGACTGTTCAAATTTATAGTTATTAAATTAATTAATCAACAAATTAATTGAAATTATCGATAACCAAATATTATTTCATAAATAGTTAGTTTAAAGTATTCTATTTATACATATTACTGAACGAAACATTTCGGTAAAGTATTGCATAGCTAACCTGAGGGCATGGCAAACGACTGAGTTGATGCCCAGCTGCACTCGTCGATAGAGCACCACCACCAGCGGCTGACTTCACCGCCGACGTAGCTGCTGCTGCTTTTTGACTGGCGGTATTTCGATCGATTGAGGACTTAGCCAATGTTTTTAGAGCAGAAACTGACGAACGAGATTCAGAAGTACTGAAAGAGTTATTCCCATAAAAGACATGCTCGATTTGTGTAACCATTATGGATGAAGTATACTTTTTGATGATTTCAGGTTCTTTCTCTTTGACTAGACTCAACAATGAATATTCATTAAAAGCACCACAGGAAAGAATCATCCTGTTGTAATCACTCATAGAATATTTGTAATCCAAATAATCGAGTAATAAGCCTACCATCTGCGGGGTATGCCACTAGACCCTGAGTTTGATGCTTTACTTTGAGCCAATCTCTGAAATTATTTGATATCTTTTGTCAGAAAGTGATCAGGAAACATATTTTGAAGAAATTCTGCTGCTTGGACACGCACACAATAATTAAAGCATTGATGCATAATCGCAAAGGCAATAATGAAACGTTGAAGAAAGTGTGTGAAGTGACTTTGCAAACGACCTAGAAATCGCTTCTTATAACTCAATTATAAACAACATGAAACACATTCGATATTAAGACCGCAGAAAACTATTGAAAACGAAAATATCTTTTTTTTGACGAGTACTCGATAGCGTAAAGTCAAAGTCACCCGGAATGTATTCGGGATTTCTGATTGATGTTTTGAATGAAGTTGTTTAATACGATCCACGTGTTCTTGAATTGTAGGCGCTTTCTCCCAGAACTTTTTGTGTTGCAACTCAAAACGTGATCGAACTGAAACTGAAAACGAATCGTACTTTGCATTCGAATCACTAAACAATACCCCAGAAACGCTTGTTAAACGAAACTGCAACGTTCGTTTCATATTTTCATGAACAAGTAATTATGATGAAGTGACGAAGTGAAAAATACTGAACTAATTGATCAGTGGACTGAACAACTTTCAAAAAATTTAACTAACCGGATGATGGAATTGCGGAGCGCTTTTTCGCTGAATTTGAATTTTTATTTGTTTGCAAATCCGTTGCTGGCTTTTGAATTTCTTGCTCATTTTCGCAACGAACAAAATCATCTGGATTATCTTTTGTCATCTGTTTGGTATCTTGTTGGATAGCGCTTTCATCATCTTGTTGGATCGCATTCTCATCATCAAATTGCAACTCATCCATCAACTGATGCTTTTGTTCCGCTATCAAATCATCAACTGCATCACCCTTTATGCCATCCAAATTTTGCGAAATGTGTTGGTTTTCATTTACTGTTGAAACATCCGTCACTGGCATTTCAAGTTTATTTATCACCGACTCCAATACATCACCTACGGCTCCAGTATTGTCGACGTTTGCTGACGGTCGACTCACAAGCAACGATGAGTGATTCGATGGCAGTGTCATTACGTCACAACATTCTTCAAACACTTCCGCATCTCCTCCATCCATCGGCAAGAGAATTTTCTCGTTATTATATTCACATCCTTCATGAACGCCTTCATCAGTCATTTCCTTTTCATCTGTGACTGCAATTG